TGCATCACTGAGCCATCTGCTGAGTGACCAGGCATATGTGACAGGTAGAAGATGAGACCCCCTTGTGCCCCATCTTCTCTGTGGCCAGGCTAGAGTGTGGGCCAAATGCCTCCTAATGGTCCTCATCGACCCAGCCTTTCAATATTAACATCCCATCTAAGGACAGATACAGGCTCAATGTGAGCCCCCAGAATCTCCCCCAATCTCCAACTGCCCCTATGAACCTTAAAATAGCAGCTTTTGGGCTGTTTTTATTCTCACCTACGATAAGAAACACATGTAACATTTTGACCTAAAATACACTGGGCATTTAAAACAAACATACACAGGCTGAGCAGGTGCTGGCCCTGTGCCAGAGCTGGGGTGGTGGCACCTGGGTGTGTCACTTAACGGGTTCTGAAAGATTTCAAAGTAAGGACAGGAGCTGGGGCTGGGGACATTTGGAGCGGTGGCTGTTGACCACCTCATGTGGGTGTTTGGGAGTCATAACAGCTGGCCCAGTTTCACCTGTGTTTTCTGGATGGCCTTTAGTGTTGCAGAAGCAGAAGCTTCAGAAGGTGACATTTACCCAACAACCCATGATATGTGGTTCTTTTGTCATCTGTCCTATTTGATTTTGTTTAATTCTCCTTTTTTTTTTCCTATGAGACAGTCTCACACTGTTGCTGGGATGGATGTAATGGTGCAAACTTGACTCACTGCAGCCTCTGCCTCCTGGGTTCAAGTGATTCTCCTGCCTCAGCCTCCTGAGTAGGTGGGATTACAGGTGCTCACTACCACACCTGGTTAATTTGTGTGTGTTGTGTGTGTGTTTGTAGTAGAGACAGTGTTTTACTATGTTGGCCAGGCTGGTCTCAAACTCCTGACCTCAGGAAATCTGCCTGCCTTGGTCTTTCAAGGTGCTGGGATTACAGGCATGAGCCACTGCACCTGGCCTCATTCTACTTTATTTTTGGGCCAAGCACAGTGTTCCATGCCTATAATCCCAATGCTTTGGGAAGACAAGGCAGGAGGATTGCTTGAGACCAGGAGTTCAAGACCAGCCTGGGCAACATAGTGAGACCCCTGTTTAGACAAAAAAGTAAAATAAAAATGGAAATTAGCCAATGTGGTGACACGTGTCTGTAGTACACAGTCTGTAGCTATTTGGGAGGCTGAGGTGGGAGGATCAATTGAGCCTGGGAGGTAAAGGCTGCAGTGAGCCATAATCAGGCCTGTCTGTGGCCTGTTGTACAGGGCACAGGTGTTGGCTCTTCAAGGATCCCTCAACTCCAAGGACCCTGGGGTATTTCTGAGTCCCCTCTTTGCCTGGGGCTGGGGGTGTTGGTCCCTGGGGCTGACTCTTTCACCTGCCTACTCTCTGTCCCTGTAGCACTGCTGGAAAGGAAGGAGGAGGGTGGATGGTGGGTGGCCACCCTGGGTGCCGAGCTCTTCGTGCCAGGCCTGGCGGGGCTGCGTGCCCTTGGCCTGCTGCAGCAGCGGGGCTGGCTCTGGATCAACTCCCTGAGGAACTAGTACAGCCTCCTGGGTAAGGCACTGCATGTCTGGCTGCAGGGCGGGTAGAGGTGGCAGGGCCTGCCCTGTTTCCTGCAGTTGTGGCTCTGTGAGCTAAGATATGCTGTCATCACAGGATTTTCCACTAGTCATTTTGTGGTCTCTGAGTAGGACTTTGTACCTGCTCATTAAAAAAAAAGGTATGTCTGTTGAGGGTATATTCATTCATCTCTTAAAACCTTCGCATGGAGAGGTTTTAATGGAGTGACAGGTGAAGCAGAGCACAGGGCTGGGGGACATGGCTGAGGCCAGGCTGGGCTGGGCTCTTCTCCTCTTGGAGCCGTGGTGGAGGGCTGCCTGGTAGAGAAGGGCAGGGGTCTCTTGATTGATTGTCACAGCTCAGGCAAAGCAGCCAGCACATAAGTGCAGCACCAGCCAGAGGCTGCAGACCCAGAGCATCTCAGACAGTGCCTACAGGCTGGAGCTGGGCCACGAGATCCACTGCACACAGATCCTGGCCTTCAGCCTGAAGGCGGGTGCCCAGGCCAGGTGAGATGTCCAGAGGGAGCACCAGAGTCAGGCAAGTGGTGATCTGAGTACCCTGAGCTCATCCCCAAAGATATGAACTTGCTCCCAATAGCATAGCTGTATAGGAATGGACCCAGGGCTAGCACTTCAGGCTCAGTCTTATGTCTATTCATCCAGAGTTGCTTGAGCCCAGGAGGCAGAGGTTGCAATGAGCCAAGATGGTGCCACTGTACTCCAGCCTGGGCAACAGAGTAAGATCTTGTCTCTAAAATAAACAAATAATAAATTAAAAAAAAAAAAAGCCAGGCGCAGTGGCTCACACTTGGAATTCTTGTAATCCTAGCACTTTGGGAGGCTGAGGTGAGCGGATGATGAGATCAGGATTTCGAGACCAGCCTGGCCAACTCCAAGGACGCTGGGATATTCCTGAGTCCACTCTCAGGAATGGTGAAACATTGTCTCTTCTAAAAATACAAAAATTAGCCAGGCGTAGTGGTGGGTGCCTATAATCCCAGCTTCTTTAGAGGCTGAGGCAGGAGAATCTCTTGATCTGGAGGTGAGCTATGGGAAGCACTGGGACAAGAGCAGCAACAAGAGGCATCTCTGTGTCAGTCAGACCTTCAAGAATGACTCAGGGCCCACCCTGAGCAATAACTTAATGGAGATGAGCCCAGCCACTGCAGCAGAGCAGTACCCTGTGGGTCCAGCGTGGACAGTGGGAGCTAGGGAACCCCTCATGGCCCTCTGGCCCTGGCTGCAAGGATGCAGGCAGCTGAAACTCAGCCTTGGTGACCTTCCCTTTTGCATCTCGAGCCCCACATCTCCTAGTCCTGCCAGTAGGGGCAGACATTGTGAGCATTTAACGACCACACAGCCACAGAGAGCTCATCGTGGAACCAGAAAGAGAACCTGTGGCAGTGAGCTTCACAGAAACAAGGCTGTACACTCAAAGCAGGCAGAAGACTGACAAAACCGAGGCAGCAGGTTTGTAGGAATGAGACAGCAGACCATGAAGAAAAGAAGGTTGGGTCAGGCTAATGGCTTACACTTATAATCCCAGCACTTTGGGAGGCTGAGGCAGGCAGATCATGAGGTCAAGAGATCAAGAACATCCTGTTCTGTTCTGTCACATTTCCTTGCCTTTGTTTTGTAATCATTTTTTTGAGATAGAGTCTCGCTCTGTCACCCAGGCTGGAGTGTAGTGGTGTGATATCAGCTCATTGCAACCTCTGCCTCCTGAGTTCAAGCGATTCTCCTGCCTCAGCCTTCCGAGTTGCTGGGACTACAGGTGTGTGCACTACTGCACCTGGCTAATTTTTTGCGTTTTCAGTAGAGACAGGATTTTGTCACTCCAGGCTGGTCTCAAACTCCTGACCTTCGGTGATGCAACACTTTTGGCCTTCCAAAGTATTGGGATTACACGTATGGGCTACCACACCCAGCCTGCTTTGTAATCTTATAAACACACAAAAGCCCTTCTTTCTTGCAGGCCATGCAGAAGCCAGCCACAGGCTAGGTGTGGCCCACTTCTCATCATTTACTACCACTGAGTGATACATTAGTTGGCAAATGCTAGTGAAGGAACATTGGTGAGATGATGGGTGGAGGATCCTATGGTGTGGCCATGGCCAGCTTTGAGGGAAGGTATAGTTTGAGCAAGAGCCATGGGGCCAGCGTGGAAAGAGAGCTCCACGGGGGGAGCACAGAGGCCTTGGAGAGGGATGTGCCTGGCCTGTTTGTTTTTGAGATGGAGTCTCGTTCTCTGTCACCCAGGCTGGAGTGCTGTGGTGTAATCTCAGCTCATTGCAACCTCTGCCTCTCAAACTCAAGTGATTCTCCTGCCCCAGCCTCCCAAGTAGCTGGGATTACAGGCATTTGCCACCATACCCAGCTAATTTTTGTATTTTTAGTAGAGACAGTGTTTCACTATATTAGCCAGGCTGGTCTCAGAATCCCGGGCTCCAGAGACTCAGTGCTGTAATTATGGGCATGAGCCACCATTCCTGGCCTGTTTTAATAGCAAAGTGGTGGGGCTGATGCAATTGGGAGTGACTGGGAGGTCCCAAAGCTAAGGGGTAGGGGGGAGGATTCTGGCTTCTGCTCTGACCTAGGAAGGATGTGATCACCCTTTTACTTCAAAAGGCCCCTTTGGTCCCTGTGTCAAGAACACAGGGGTGGTGGATCGAAGTGGGGAACCCAGTCTAGAGCAGGGGCCTGGGGACCCAGTATCCTTTTCCCTCACAGGCATGAGGTCCACCAGGAACCAGGCTCCAGGCAGGGGGGCAGTCCCCTTCTTCCATGCTGGTGGCCTTGCAGAGCATCTGGACTCTGGCTCTGCCTCTAACTGGGATTCCTCTACATCGGCTCTGTGTGCCTCAATTACCCCAGATGTAGAATTGGAACTAAACCCGCATCATGGGGGAAAGGCTCCATGTAATACAAGTTCATGCTCCTGCTGCCTTGTGGTCAGAATGTAGGCTGAGGAAGAGAAGAGCTCCCAGGGTGGGGCTTTGGCTTGGCTGAAGAATCACTTGCCTAGTTATTCGCCTACACGGTGAGTGGGATCTGGTGGGGGTGCCAAAAAATGGATTCAACTGGCAGGGAAGGCATTGAGGCTGCTTCCTGCCCCCAGCAGCAGGGCCTCTGGGCTCCCTAGATGATAAGTGAGACCACCTGCCCCTGCACCTTCTCCACCAGCCCAGCAACAACAGAGTGTGCAATATTCCTCTTCCCACTCCACTCCCACGTGAGCCAAGATCTCCCTGATCATTCAGATCCCACAGGCTTGACCCTACTCTACATATTGAGAAAGTTTCAGTCCTCTCTTCAACTGCAGAAATTTTCTAGACCTGTTGGTCAGGCACAGTGGCTCATGCCTATAATCCCAGCACTTTGGGCAGATCACTTGAGGGCAGGAGCTGGAGACCAGCCTGGCCAACATGGTGAAACCCCGATTCTACTAAAAATACAAAAATTACCTGGGCATGGCAGTGAGTACATGTAGTTCCAGTTACTCCAGAGGCTGAGACAGGAGAATCACATAAACCCAGGAGGCAGTGGTCGCAGTGTCAAGATAGTACTATACTTGAGCCTGGGAAACAGAATGAGATTCTGTCTTAAAAAACAAAACTACTTCCTACACCTTCCAGCTCCTGTTCTTGGCATCCCCACACACAGGCCCCATGCTGCCCAAGACCCAAAGGGTAGATCAAGCATGACATCAGATATCTGTGTTCTCAAAATAGGGCAGCTTGTTTCTGTCACAGCCTCACTCATCACCTTCTCTGTCATGCTGGCCTCTGTCCTCCTCCACCTCATTATGGGATTTCCTAGAACAAGGACAGCCCCTCCCTGAGAAGCACCCCCAGGCTCTCCATGGCAGAGCTCTTCCTGGGGACCTGTGAGCTCCCCCTCTGCAGCCAAAGGAAGCATGGCTTGGCCAGGCACAGCGACTTGTCCTGTGCATTCCCTCTAGGAACTACTCAATGGTGGTGATGCTGCCACTGCTGCCTGTGGGGGATGAGCCCCTGGACATGGCCTGGGTGACCAGGTACCTGGTGGAGGAGAAGCTGCTGCAGCTGCTCTGAAAGCTGTCCAGGGCTAATGTGCTGGCTGAGTTCTATCGGCTCTGACGCTGCCTGCTGCAGAGTCCCTGGGAGTGTGAGTCCTGCCCTGGCCTGTGCCGCCCTCCTCCCTGAGAGCCCCCTGCCCAGTGGGCACAGCAGCAGGGCCATGCAGGGGCAGGTACTGTGGGGGCACAGGGAAGCCTGCAGAGGCTCATGGCATCACAGTGCCAGGCCCAGAGCTTACTGGATTTCCCAAGGTCCTATGGGACTAGGGCTGAGGCTACACATCCTGCTTTTGTCCAGAATGTAAGGCCTGGCTCAGCAGAGGAGTATAGTCAGCCATTCAGGGCTTTAGGCCAGCTCCCACTCTGTGGGCTCTGCTAGAGCAGAAGGCAGACCTCCCATTACTGCCGGAAGGGCACTAATTGAGTTCATACTTGCATGTAAGGGGTGACCTGTAGCCAAGGGTGGTGCTGGGATGACTGGCTCTGGGCTCGTGGGGAGTATGTGTGCAGTTCAGGTGAGTCGGCTAACCTCTGTGGACTCGGATTCCTCCACTGTGAAATGCAGGTAACAACGTGGCTCACTCACATGAGTAAGGGGCATGTATGGTTCTTAATGCACGAGGGAGCCCCTCATGTCCGTGGGGGAGCCACAGTACCCAGGCTTGGCAAGGAGTGGTTTATCTGTGTGGGACTCACACGGAGGCCTAGGGCTCCCTAGAAGCGTGGGTGCAGTCATGTCTAAGCAGCGAGCTGATGTTGTAGAAAACAGCCTGGTCTTCAAGTTGTGTGTGTGACCATGGGCTTCTCTGTGCCCCTCAGTTCTGACAGCTGACCATGGGGTTGGCAGTGCCTTCCTCGGGATGCTGGCCCACGCCATCAGGTGCCTGGTTGTGCACCATAGATGGTGCTTCCCTGCCATGGGCATGAGCACCCCCAAGGTGCAGCTAAGGGTCCGCACTGGCTTGACTGGCCAGACCTGTTCCTTCACAGGCCATCTCTTCCCTCCCCTAAAGAGGGCAGGTCTGCAGGACACTGCTGTCATGTTTGAGGGAGCCGTTGGCTATCCACATAAGCAGTGAATGTTTTTTTCTTCCTAGGAGCTTCCTTGAGTGTTTTTTTCCCCCCTAGTAGCTTCCTTGAGATTAAATGGATGACTCGTATGATCTGTTGTGGTTTTTTTTTTGAGACTAGGTCTCACTCTGTTGCCATGGTTGTAGTGCAGTGGTGCGATCTTGGCTCCCTGCACCCTTGACCTCCTGGGTTCAAATTATCCTCCTTCCTCAGCCCGCAAAGCCCTGAGATGGCTTAGCACCACTGTGCCTGGCCGATCTGTGAATTTTAAGTGCACGATTCAGTGGATTCTAGTTTGTTCAGAGTGGTGCATGCCTCACCACAATAGATTTTAAAACATTTTTATTATCCTAAAATGAAACCCTGCAGCTACCAGTCTGCCTGCTGTGTCCATGACTGTGCCTGCCCTGGACATCTGATGTAAACAGAAGCATAGAATATGTGGCCTCTGAACTAGTCTTTGTTACTTAGCACAGCACTTTTGTAGCAGGTCTCAGGACTTTATTCCTTGTTAGGGCTGAATTGATTGTAGCCCTTCAGCTCATGTCATCCTGAAGCTGGTGGGGGATCGCTGGGCCTCTGGATGCTGCACCAGAAGAGGGGGACTCCTGGCCTCAGGGCAGGCTAAGTTGGGGCTCTAGGCATCGGGGTGCCCAGCAGACATTGAGCTCTCACTGTGGTGGGTGGAGCTGGCTCCACTCACACTGCCTTTGGGGCTGCTTCTCCCCAGACCATACCCTGGTGGCAGGGGCCCAGTACATGGTGACTTTTGACAGCGGGGTGTGGAACCTTAGCACCCAGTGCGGCAGGAGAGGCAGGTGGCCTGCTGGCTCTGCGGAAGTCTTTGCAGGCCCAGGGTTGGGGGAAGTCTCCTGCTGAGGCCGATGTATGTGGGGGAGCCACATGGTCCAGTGGGGAAGCTGCATGGTCCAGTGGGAGGCCCGAGTCTTGTGTCTGTCCCACCAGGTGGATGGTGACTGCAGGGCCACCGAGAAGACTCAGCAGGCCTGCCCAAAACAGAGTCCCACCTGCCAGGCCTTCTTCCAGGACACTCACTCCAGCTTGGGGAACTGCTTCTGGATGGTGAGTGTGAGCCTGATCCCTGGGGCACAGAAAGCCCTTTCCCCCATCTAGCCTAGGCCCCTCTTCCATGCCACTACTGAGCATAGGGACAGTGAATGGGTGGCCCTAATTTCAGATGGACCCTGCAGCATTCCTCAGCCTGTGTGTGCAGGACCCCCATAGCACCTGGCAGCCATCTACATCCACCTGTGTGCCCGCAGCTTCATGCCCCTGGCCCCTCCTCCACAGTGTGGTAAGCTGCCCCAGCCAGCTGGCATTCTGCCCTCTGTCTGGCATCTGCCTTCCAGCCAGAGGGAAAACCCATCTCTCTTGCCAGAGAGGACAAATAATTGTCATTCAAGGAGGTAGGAGTCCAAACAAAACATTTATAGCCTGACACAGCTTGGATGTGTGTCCCTTCCAAATCTCACTTTTGTTAGAGGTGGTACATCCATCATGGATGGCTTAGCACCCTCCCTTTGGTGAAGCATGAGTTCTTGCTTTATTAGTTCACATTAGAGCAGTTTATTTATAAAGACCCTGGCACCTCCTCTCTCTCTCTTTGTACCCACTTATGTTTCTGCCATGATTATAAGCTTCCTGAGGCTTCCAGAAGCCAAGCAGATGCTGGAGCTGTGCTTGTACAGCCTATAGAACAGTGAGTCAATTATCTCTCTTATTTATGAACTGCCCAGGCTGGAATGTAGTGGCACAATTTCATCTCACTGCAATTTTCACCTCCCAGGCTCAAGCAATACTACTGCCTCGGCCTCCCAAAAACACAGGCATGTATTTTAGTAGAGACGGGGATCTGATGTATTGGCCAGGCTGGTCATGAATTCCTGACCTCTGGTGATCCACCTGCCTCGGCTTCCCAAAGTGCTGGGATGATGGGCATGAGCCACTGTGCCCAGCCTCACTAGGGATTTGAATGTCCACCACCATTTAGGGAAAATGCTCAGCCCCTGTTTTTCCTCTGTTCTCATACCACAAAAATCATCATCAACAAAGAAGATGACTTCTGTGAGCAAATGTGTGGGGGTTTGTCCCCACTACCAGGTTGGATCTCTAATTTAGTTCTAACACTATCTATTTTGAGATTCTTTAGCCAGTGCTGCATATGATTGCCACAGCTAAAACCCAACTAAAAGGGCATAGACGTCAGTGGCAACAAGAGGAGTGGACTTTCAAGAGCTTCAGATGCCAGAATTAGCGGCTGCCATTCACAGACATTTAAAACTTAATGAATTCAATGACAGAAGAGAAAATTAATCAATTGGAAAATATGACAAAGGGAGGATGAAATGAGAGGATCCAACATGTCTCAAAGAAATTCCAGGCCAGGTGTGGTGGTTTATCCCTGTAATCTCAGCACTTTGGGAAGCCAAAATGAGTGGATCATGTAAGGTCAGGAGTTCAAGACCAGCCTGGCCAACATTGTGAAACCCCGTCTCTACTAAAAAGACAGAAATTAGCCAGGTGAGGATGTGTGCTCCTGTAATTCCAGCTACTAGGGAGGCTGAGGCAGGAGAAATGCTTGAACTCAAGAGGTGGAGTTTGCAGTGAGCCGAGATCTCACCACTGCACTCTAGCCTGGTGACAGAGTGAGAGTCTGTCTCAAAAAAAAAAAAAAATTTCCAGAATGAAAACAGACAGGATCGAGACCCTTTAGAGTCAGGAGGCACAATCCCCAATATAATAAATCCATCCATACCTAGACCCGTCAAAGCAAAATTGCAGAAAAGACAAAGAAAAGGTCCTAAAAGCTACTGAGGAGGGTGGAAAGAAGAAAGAACATGTTAACAATTGCTTTTCCATCAGCAGTAACAAGACAGTGGAGTAAGAGAAAGTAAGCATGAGGTTAGAGTTTATACCCAGCTTAACTATTACTCAGTGAAATAACCACTCAGCACTGACTAGAGATCTTTTTACCACAAATGGACACTTACTCAAGGGATACATCCACATGTTTATTTACATACTGTCTGTGTCTGCTTTTCTGCTACAGTGGCAGAGTATTTGCAAAGGAGACCACAGTTTTGCTCTCTGAAAGACTCAATTAGGAAGATGGAAAGATAAGCTACAGATTGGGAAAAACATTTACAAACCACCTATCAGACCAAGGACTCATCTGTCTCTATATAAAGAACTCAAAGCTGAAAAGTAGGCCAGGTGCAGTGGCTCACCCTTGTATTCCTAGCACTTTAGGAGGCTGAGGCGAGATGGCTTGAATCTAGGAAGTCAAGGCTGCAGTGAGCCATGATTATACTCCTGGCTGCATGACAGAGTGAGACCTTGTCTCACAAAACAAACGTCCAAAGTAAAAAATGGGAAATAAATCCATAAACAATGTTTGTACTCCCAGCCATAGAGAAAGAAGGTAGTGCTACACACCTGAGCCCTGTGAGTTCCGGCATGGGTTGGTGAGTTCTGGCATGGGTTTTTGAGTTCCTGGGACTCCGCAGCATAAAGCATTCGTTGAACATCCAAATGGCCAGGTTGTGATTTCAGCATCCACTTACGAGTGTACTAGAAAAAGCACTGTTCTAGTACCAAAAAGGTGGTGGCTGCTGAGAATAAAGCTAGGCTTAGAGGCAGGAATCAATGTCATGGTCTGCCACCAGGTCCGCTTGGGAAGCAGCCTTGGACTCACGAAGTGCCAAGACAGTTGGTGTGGCTCCACGGGAAGCTTGGAGAATCTGGGAATCAAGCAAGAGCACTCGTTGTTCTGACTGTGTAAATACAAAACTGTCAGCTACTACAGCCATCAACAGAACATCTGGCAGAACAAGCAACTCAGATTTATAGCCACAAGGCACCAATGGACTATTATCTGTGGTTAAGGTCTTCTCTCTTCCTCTTAAGATTATTAATTAATTAATTATTTATTTATAGACTGAGTCTTGCTATGTGACCCAGGCTGGACTGCAGTGGCACAATCTCGGCTCACTGCAACCTCCGCCTCCGAGGTTCCAGCAATTCTGCCTCAGCCTCCTGAGTAGCTGGGATTACAGTCATGTGCCACCACACCCAGCTAATTTTTTGTGTTTTTAGTGGAGACAGGATTTCACCATGTTGGCCAGGATGGTCTCAAATGTCGGACCTCATAATCCATCTGCCTCGGGCTCCCAAAGTGTTGGGATTACAGATGTGAGCTACCATGTCCAGCTGGGTTTATTATTACATATTTTTAGTCAAGGGCTAAATTCTTCCCCTCTCTTGGACACCAGCGAAGTATTTAAGAAAAGCAGTCACCAATTACAGTTAAATTTTAGAGGACAAATTACAAGGTTTGTTATAAGTTACAACATAAAACCATGTTATGAACTCTCATAAGAAAAAGAGGAAGAAATTAAGACACTTTTTATTATCTTTTTGAGACAGGGTCTTGCTCTGTCTTCCAGGCTGGAGTACAGTGGTGTAGCCTCCCAAGTATTTGGGATTACAGATGTCCGCCACCACGTTTTTGTATTTTTAGTAGAGATGGGGTTTCATCATGTTGGCCAGGCTGGTCTTGAACTCCCGACCTCATGTGATCCTCCCACCTTGCACCCAACCAGAGAAATTAAGACATTCTCAGATTAAAAAAAGCTGAGAGAGTTTATTACATTGGGACCTACCCTGCAAGAAATGCTAAAGGGAGTCCTTCAAGTCAAAACAAAAGGATGCTAGGTGGACATTTGAAGCCACATATAAAGACCTGTATTATTGGAATTTTGATTTTTCTCTCTAATTTTAATTATTTTATTGGATTTAAAAGAGATGTATCACCATAAGTGTATGTTAAATATATAATTTATAAAACACAAATTAGGCCTCGTGGCATGCACCTGTAGTCTCAGCTATGGATGATCACTTGAATCCAGGGGCTTGAGGTTACAATGAGCTATGACAGTGCCATTGCACTCCAGCCTGGGTGACAGAGTGAGACCCTCTCTCTAAAATATAGATATACTTTGTAACATCAACAACATAGGATGGGCAGAGCTGTTAAGGAGTAGAGTATTTGTATGTGATTGAACTTACTAGTTTAAAATCAATTGTTATAACTTCAGGATGTTTTATATAATCCTCATGGTAATTACAAAGAAAATATAGAATGTACAAAAAAGGAAATGAGAATGGATTCTAAGTGTGTCACACAAAAAAATTAAACACAAAGGAAGGCAGAAGGAATGAAATGAGAGAGAAAACAAACCATAGGCCATTCAGAAAACAATCCACAGAGTGGCACCAGGAAGCCCTGTAAATGGCGTGCTGGAGTCCTCCCAGAGCAACTGCTCACTGAGTCCTTGGCTGTGGGCCTCATGGCACAGTCATCCACCAGCGTAGTGAGTTTTTTCAGATGATAGTCTTTAAAAATGCCAATGAATTATACAATTCTACAATCAAAAAACTGTAAGAGACTTACATATTGGTTGAAAGTGAAAGGATGAAAAAAGATATTCCACGAAAATGGTAACCAAAAAAAAAAAAAGGAGGAGCTAGACTAATCTCAGACTAAATAGACTTAAGGTCAAAGCTATTTTAAGAGATAGTAACAGTTAATTCACCAAAAAGATGTAATGTTATAAATGTGCATGCAATGCACCTCAGAGTTTCTAAATAAATGAAGCAAACACCGACAGTTCTACGATAACAGTAGGTGACATCAACATGTCACTTTTTTTTTGAGAAAGAATCTGACTCCGTTGCCCAGGCTGAAGTGCAGTGGCATGAGACAGGTCACTGCAACCTCCTGGATTCAAGTGATTGCTGTGCCTCAGCCTCATAGTAGCTGGGATTACAAGTATATGCCACCACACCCAGCTCTTTTTAGTAGAGACAGGGTTCACCACATTGGGGCTGGTCTCAAACTTCTGACCTCAAGTGATCCACCTACCTTGGCCTTTCAAAGTGCTGGGATTACAGGCATGAGCCACTGTGCCTGGCACAATAACTCACTTTCAGTAATGGATAAAACACCCAGACAGAAGATCAAGAAGGAAACAGGGCTTGAACAATACTACAGATGAATTGGACTTACCAGACATACACAGATGAGTTCCCCCAGCAGAATATACATTCTTCAAAGTACATGTGGAATGTTCTCTGGGAAAGATCATATATTAGGCCTGAAAGCAAGATTTAATACATTTTAAATGGCTGAAATTATAATAGCAGAAGGAAAACAAGAATATTCACAAATCTATGGGAACTAAACAACATACTACAAAACTGTGGATCAAAGAAAAATAATAATGAAAATTAGAAAGTATTTTGAGACAAATACAACATACCAAATCTTATGGGATGCAGCAAAAGCAGTGCTATGAGGGAAATTTATAGCTGTACATGCTTACATTAAAGAAAGCTGGCCAGGGGCTGTGGCTCACACCTGTAATTCCAGCACTTTGGAAGGCCAAGGCAGGCAGATAACCTCATGCCAGGAGTTCAAGACCAGCCCGGCTAACATGATGAAATCCTGTCTCTACTAAAAACATAAAAATTAGCCAGGCGTGGTGGCAAGCACCTGTAATTCCAACTACTTGGGAGGCAGAGGCAGCGGAATCACTTGAACCTATGAGGAGGAAGTTGTTGAGATTGCACCACTGCACTCCAGCCTAGGTGACACAGCTAGACTCCATTTCCCCTAACCTCCCCCCCACCACAAACATACACAAAAAGCAGCAGCAGCAGCCAGCCATAGTGACACTGTTCTATAATCCCAGCTACTTGGAAGGCTAAGGCCAGGAGATTGATTGAGTTCAGGAGTTTGAGACTAACTCAACAAGTGACAAGACACTCTGTCAAATAAAAGAAAAAGGAAAAGCTCTTAAACCCAAATCCAAACTTTGTACCTTAAATTATTAGAAAAAGAACAGCCTAAACCCAAAGCTAGGAGAAAAAAGGAAATAATATGGGTTAGAACAGAACTAAATGAAATAGAATATGGAAAAACTGACCTATAACTACCAAAGAGATTGAATCAGTAACCAAAAACTTGACAAGAAAGACAAATACAAGAACAGATGGCTTCATGGGTGACTTGTACCAAACATTTACAGAACCAATACCAATTCTGCTCATCTTCCAAAATCCTGAGGAAAGAATACCTCCAAACTCATTCTGTGAGGCCAGCATTACTGATACCAAAGGCAGACAAAGCAGCAGAAGAAAACACACCACTATATCCGATCAATGCAGATGCAAAAGTGCTCAAGAAAATACTAATAAGGAGAATTCAACAGCGTCATAGATGAATTATACAACATGATCAAGTGAGATTTATTCCTGGAATGCAAATGTGGTTAACATATAAACATCAGTGTAAGATATCACATTAACAGAATGAAGGAAAGAAAACATAATTTTTTTCAATTAGTACAGAAAAAGCATTTAACAAAGTTTACTATCCTTTGATGATTCAAAACATACTGACTAGAAATTGAAACAATCTCAATGTAATAAAGGTAATATGAGCAACCTTTAGTTAATATCATTCTCAATGATGAGAGACAAAGTTTTCCAAGTTGAGGAATAAAACAATGATGCCTGCTTTCATAATACTGGAAATCCTAGCCAGAGCTATTAAGAAAGAAAGGAGAAAGGTGTCCAAATTGGAAAGGAAGAAGTAAAATTTTCTCTGTTAACAAATGACATGATCTTTTTTGTAGAAAATCCTGAAGACTGAACAAAATAAACTGTTAGAACTAATAAGTTGTCCAAGTTTCAGGATTATGAAATCAACATACAAAAGTCCGTTGCATTTCTACACACTAACAGTCAACAATCCAAGAAGGAAATTAAGAAAACCGTTCCTGCTGGCTTTGTTGTGGATGCCTATAGTCTGAGCTACTTTGGAGGCTGTGGCAGGAGAATCGCTTGAGCCTGGGAAGTCAATGATGTCAGTTTTTATAACGATTATGCCTGTGAATAGCCACTGTACTCCAGCCTGGGCAACATAGTGAGACACCATCTTAAAAAAAAAAAAAGTCAGTTTACAGTAGCATAAAAAAAAAAATAGGAATAAACTTAACCAGGAGGCAAAGACTTTGGCAGGATTTAAAGTTCCAGAGACTGGTTGTGAAACAAATGTAAAGTCAAATGGTATTTATAGATTTGTAAAGCTTAGTTTCATTAAGATGTCAATACAGAGGATCCAAGATGGCCCATTAGGAGCAGCTCAGGATTGCAGCTCCCAGTGAAAGTGCAGCGGGTGAGTGGATGCTGTATTTTGAGATGGATTTCTATTGCCCACAGACCAGGAGATTCCCAGGTGGAGGAGCCCCATGGGTTGCCAGCACAGCTGGTTTGGCCGGTGTGGCTGTTTTGGCTGGCATGGCTGTTTTGGCAGCACCCTGGGGCAGCAGTTATCTGTACAAAATACATGGGTCTGGGCACCATTTTACCTGGTGATTGGAACTCCGGGAAGGCAGAGTCACCCATTCATCTGATTAAAAAGGGGACTGAAACAGGGAGCCAGGCCAGGAGATTCCTGGGCAAAAAAGTGCCATGAATCTCAGCATTGCTGTTTCAGCCAGCACAGTGGGTCACCACAGGGGAAATCACAGATCCCAGCTCCTTTTCAACAGGCGACTGGAACACCTGGGAGAGAGTTGACCGTTCAACTGAAAAAAAGGCTCTGAGACAGGGAGCCAGGGGATCAGGCTTGGCTGGTCCCACCCCCACAAAAAAAAACCCAGCAATTGGAAATGCTCTGGGTTGAGAGTTTGACAGCAAGCACAGCTGAACCTGAGAAGGTCCACCTCTGTGGGGGAAGGGTGTCCACCATTACCGAGGCAGTCCACCACTACGGAGGTAGTCTGCCATTGCTGAGGCAGCCCACCATTGCCAAGGCAACCCACCATTACAGAGAGAGTCTGCCTTTACAGAGGTGGGCCACCATTGCCTAGGCAGTTCTAATTATTCCCGTATAAACAGGACCGTGGGGAAGTTCACACGGCAGCAGGGTGAGATGTGTGTATGGTGTGTAAATAACAGTAAGAAACTTACAGAAGCAGGCTGTGGACTTTCGGAATTACCAACAGGAATGAGGAAAGAAGAAAACTGGAGTTTCCAGTCTCTGAGTTCTACCTGATGTCACCCTTGATTGGTTTTCGGAACTGTGTTGGTCTTCGTAACGTATCTGACTACGAGCTGATTTTTCTTTCTTGCCTTCATTTTAATTAGCCCAAAATTAAGTTTTAAAGACTTTCTATCACAATTTAAATCCGTAGACAACAGAAGGGGGTTTAAAATGACCCTTTTTTCAGTTGATCTGAAAGTTGTGATTAGATGATTAAAAAGAAACATTTGAGGATGGACTTGATTATTTCAGTAAAATACTATAATTTGCAAAAAAAAAAAAAAAAAAAATGGTCTCCAGGTTTATCCATGTCCCTACAAAGGACATAAACTCATCGTTTTCGATGGCTGCATAATATTCCATGGTGTATATGTGCCATCTGCAGGCAGATGGTGACTAGGCTGCCTCCTCACTGGGCAGGGCAGCCCTGGAAAAAAAAGGCAGCAGCACAACAAAAACTCATTAATAAAGCCCTAACTCCCTGGGACAAAGCACCTGGGGAAAAAAAGGGGGTTTGTCAGTTCTGCTGCAGCTAACTTAAACGTACCTGCTGAGCAGCTCTAAATGAACAACGGAGCTCACAGCTCAGCACTGGAGCTCCTATAAAGGACAGAATGTCTCCTAAAGCAGCTCCCTGAATCCCATATATGCAAACAGTCACCTCATAAAAGATAGCTCAGACTGACATTTGGTGGGTATCCTTCTGAAACAAAGACAGCAGAAGAAGAAACTTCTGCTATCTTCTGCTACCTTACTGTTAAGATAGCAACCCTTACTGTTCTGCAACCACTGCAGGTGAACCCCAGGCAAGCAGGACCTGGAGTGGACCTCAGCAGTCCTACAGCAGAGGGGCCAGACTGTTAGAAGACAAAATAAGCAACAGAAAGAAATAACTTCATATCAACAAACTGAATTTCCACTCAGAGACCCAATCTGAAAGTCAACAACTACAAAGATGACAGGTGGATAAATCCGCAAAGATGGGAAGAAACCAGCTCAAAAAGGATAAAAACACCAAAAACCAGAAAGCCTCTCCTCCTACAGTAGATCACAACTCCTCATCAGCAAGAGAACTAGGCTGGATGGAGAATGAGTGTGATGAATTGACAGAATCAGGCTTCAGAAGGTGGGTAATAAGAAACTTCTGTGAACTACAAGGACATGTTCTAACCCAACACAAAAATCTAAGAACTTTGAATAAAGATTTGATGAAACAGATACTGGAGAGGATGTGGAGAAATAGGAACACTTTTACACTGCTGGGGGTTGTGTAAATTAGTTCAACTATTGTGGAAGACAGTGTGGCAATTCCTCAAGGACCTAGAAATAGAAATTCCATTTGACCCAGCAATCACATTACTGGGTATATATCCAGAGGATTATAAATCGTTCTGCTATGAAAACATATGCACACGAATGTTCATTGCAGCACTGTTTACAATAGGAAAGACCTGGAACCAACCCAAATGCCCATCGATAATAGTCTGGACAGGGAAAATGTGGCACATATACACCATGGAATATTATGCAGCCATCGAAAACGATGAGTTTATGTCCTTTGTAGGGACATGGATAAACCTGGAGACCATCATTCTCAACAAACTTACACAAGAACAGAAAACGAAATACTGCATGTTCTCACTCATAGGTGGGTGTTGAATAATGAGAATACATGGACACAGGGAGGTGAGCACTACCCACTGGGGTCTGTTGGGAATAGGGGAGGGACAGTAGGGGGTGGGGAGTTGGGGAGAGGTAGCATTGGGAGAAATGCCACATATAGGTGAAGAGGGGGAAGGCAGCAAATAACACTGCCACGTGTGTACCTATGCAACTATATTGCATGTTCTTTACATGTACCTCAAAACCTAAAATGCAATTAAAAAAAAGATTTGATGAAATGATAATGAGAATAGACAATTTAGAGAGGAATATAAGTGAATTGATGGAGATGAGAAACACAGCACGAGAAATTTGCAAAGCATACACAAGTTTCAACAGCCAAATTACCAAGCAGAAGAAAAGATATCAGAGGTCAAAGATCAA